ATGGCCTTCCAAGGCCCTTGCATCCTCATCGTGCGTCCTTATTGTACGGCTTGACTGTAACCGCGTCCTGGATTTGGACGGTCCCGTTATCGCTGGATGTTCGCAGCGGGAGTTCGCGGCAAATTCCAGATTAGGTCTCGTCATTTTCATGATGGCCCCGTCAGGCCAACCCGAGTCCCCCGAACCCGAGTCTTACGTCTCCCCGATACAGTGGAGACCCATGCCAAGAAACACCCTGCTTGCCTCCAGGGTACCCTGGGTTTCTTGAGTTTCGATGAATTTGCTATGGAGAGCGTGACGTTCCCACACCAAAAACCAAGTGTGTGTGTATATATATACATATATATATATATATATATATATAGATGCCCCCTTCCGAAATGATTATCGTCCTGCCTTCGTCTTGAGGGGTGTCCCAGAGTTTTCTCGCCGCCTTCGGGGCTCCCAGGGCCCTTCCCTGCACACCCCCCACCCAGGGGCCGCCAACAGGGCGGCTCAGGCTGACACGATGGCCCAGAGGACAGCCTCGGGGCATTCGAAGAAGAACAAACGCCATAGGCATAAACTTTAGGCGCTCCGCGCGGATCTCTTGGATCCGCGCTGGGTCTCGGCCTAGGCGAGCATGGCGAGAGATAAACAGACCTTGATGCGACGCGGGAAAGGCGATCGCATCGTCATCGTCGGCAGTCGTATCGTCCATTGGTAGGGTGCCAGGGAAGACTTACAAGAACCAGAAGGCATCTTCATATATGAAAGAGCGTGCTCTACCGCTGCTGGCGGAAAACCGGGGGGGATCACTACCGGTTCGAACCCCTCCCCCCCCCCCTCCGGAAAACCGGGGGGGGTCACTACCGGTTCGAACCCCTCCCCCCCCCCCCAGCTCATCATGAAAAGGGGGGGGGGTCACTACCGGTTCGAACCCCCCCCCCCCCTCGAAAACCCAGTGGGGGTGCGGACAGAGGTGGGGACGGTGTTGGTGGGACAGTGGTGAGGGGACAGCGGGACAGTGGTGGGGACAGTGGGACAGTGGGACAGTAGAGGGCCGGTAGTGGTGGGGACAGTGGTGGGGACAATGGTGGGAACAGGGGGGACAGTGGACAGTGGTGGGGACGGTGGTGGTGGGGACAGTGGTGTGGGCACAGTGGGAATGAGGTGGAAACAGTGGGACAGTGGAGGGTACAATGGTGGTGGGGACAGTGGTGAAGGCGGTGGCGAGGACGGCGGTGGGACAATGGGACAGAGGTACAGTGGGGACAGTGGTGGGGGCAGTGGGGACAGTGGTGGGAACAGTGGGACAGCTCAGTGGGACAGCGGCGGAGTCAGTGGGACAGTGGGGACAGTGGGGATAGTCGGGCAGTGGTTGGGGCCGTGGAGACAGTGGGGAGAGTGGAACCGTGGTGGGAACAGTGGTGGGGACAGTGGGGACAGTGCGACAGTGGTGGGGGCACTGGTGGGGACACAGTGGGGGCAGTGGTGGTGAGGACAGTGGTGCTGGGAACAACAGTGGAGGATGTGATGCGGACGGTGGTAGGGACCGGGAGTCGTTTGCTGGCGGTGAGTGGGGGGGTAGGGAGGGGTTCGAACCGGTAGTGATCCCCCTCCGGTTTTCGAGGGGGGTGGGGGGGTTCGAACCGGTAGTGACCCCCCCCGGTTTTCCGGATCCGGAGGGGGGTGGGGGGGTTCGAACCGGTAGTGACCCCCCCCGGCTTTCGAGGGGGAGGGGGGGGGGGGAGGGTTAAGGGAGGGGGGGGGTTTTGCGGGAAAGGGGGAGGGGGGGGGAGGGGTTCCAGTTCCAGCAGGGGGGGGGGGATTTTCGGGGGGGGGGGGCGACCCCCGGGCTCCGGAGGAAAAGGTTGGCAATTTTCCACAGTAAAGCGGCGGTGAGTCACGCTCTCTCTCATATATGATGCCTTTGCAGATTTCTGTAGCAAGTTCTCCAGCATAGGTCATGGGGACAATGTGCAGAGGTAGGTGGTACATTAATTAGTCATTTGCCCAAGATGTATGATGATCCAAATTGCCCACTCACTTTCTACGGATGTGGATCCAGCCGTGGATTTGGAAACAATTGGGGCAGTAGTTTCCCATGTTTGCTACTGGATTGTGTTTGGCATGTTGCGTGTTTTTTTTCGGATGCTCGCCAATACGATTACTAGTTTCATCGCAAACCGTAGCTGGCTCAAAGAGTTTGATGGTTTCTTGCATTCAATTTTGCCCATTCAATAGTTCCCTCCTTGGAATCACAACGGTTCTCCATTTCAACGAGAAGCGCCAACGCACCGCCTAATGTCAATGTATATTGTTATGATGTCTCGTCGACCCGTATTGTGGAATCAATTCCCATTGTGTTTATTCCCATTGTGTTTTTTCTTTGCAGCATGTGTTGGAATGGGTCTTGTTCAATGCCGCCGATCCCGAGATGGTTTGATGTTTGTGCGGGGGTTCTACGAGGCAGTATTGAAGCCTACTGGGTCCGTTTTGGGGCCTCTTGGGGCGTTTTGGGTCTTATAGGGAATGTTGGGAGCATTTGGAGACCTTGGGATTTCGCGCGCATTTTGTGGAAAAGGGCAGGACATATCAGTTCGAGTTTCCTTTTGGGGGCCTATCTTGGCGGTGATTTTAGGTTTTCGTTGACCAGCGTTGATGCTTGCTGGGCAGCTTCGGGACCCTTCGGGCATTTTACGGCAGCTTTCAGGTGTATATGGAACCATCTTGACAATTGTTTTGGGCTTTTTCGAAGTCGAGATGGCATAAGCGATGGAACAGCAACCGTTTCAGGAACGGGCAAGCGCTTCAGTAACCGAAATAGCGTTCCAGGAACAACCGGAACCGTTTCAGTAACAAAGACAAGTGTTTCAGTAACTGGGCCCACCCGTTTCAGCAACAAAGGAATTGTTTCAGTAACCGGGCCCACCCGATTCAGCACCAACGAAAATTGTTTCAGTAACCGGGCCTACCCCTTGCAATTGGAAAACCGCGGTTTGCATAACACACACAGGCGTCTCAGTAGTAAAAGCATTGCTTCAGTAACAAACCCCACCGTTTGAGTAGTGAACCCCACCGCTTCAGTAACAGACCCTACCGCTTCAGTAACAAACCCCACCATTTCGATAACAAACCCCACAGTGCGGGGCGGCCTTGCGCATGTACGATTGTTGCTTTTTGTTGTCGAATTTCGGAGTTGTTCGTTGGTGTTCGCCCTGGACGCCTCGGGCTTGCAAGGCGGTCTTGCGCAAGCGCGATTGCCATTTCTCAGAAATATTCCATATGCATTTTCTTCGTGCCTCCGTGTGCTGGCAGGACAAAGAAATTCCCTATACGGAACTACGCACCATTTCCCCCATTATTGTATGTTCTGTCTTCGCCGTTGCAGCACGATCTAAAGGCTTGTGAACAGGAGCTCGTATTGCTATGTGGGAGAGGTGGGCAATATTTCGGATGGTTTTCGCCCTGTCTTGGCGCCACGGGCTTATACATTGCTATTATTTCATGGTTTGCGTAAGTGTTTGTTGGTTTTCGCCCTGCTCGGACGCCTCGGGTTTGCCAGTCGGCCCTGCGCAGGCGTGATTGCTGTTGCACCGAAATATTCAAGGTGCATTTTTGTCGGGAACTCTTGCGCTGGCAGGGCAAAGAACAGGCAATGCGCGTAACAACGCATCATCCCCCCCATGCTGCATTTTTGCCTTCAGCGTTCAGCGCGAACTAAAGGCTCGCGAAAAAGAGTTGGCATTGCTCTTTGGGAGGGGTGGGCCATGCTTGGGATGGTTTTCGCCTTGCCCTGACGCCTCCAGCTCGCCAGGCGGTCATGCGCATATGCGATTATTATGCTTTTAACGGCTTGCGAATAGGTCGTTTAGATTTCGCCCTGCTCGGACGCCCCGGGCTTGCTAGGTGGTCCTGCGCAAGTACGATGTTTGTTTTTTGTTCGCGCATCCCCTTCTTTTTGCATTCGCTTGCCTTGACACCTTTCGGCTTGCCAGTCGCGCCGCACGTTCAGGCTGCGGCGATGTTTATGTAAAAAATTGCAAAACGGTACTGACAACCACCCTGCACCCCTCGCCGCACGGCGCCGCAGAAGGGCCGCGCAATTTAGTGTCATGGTATATTCGCCACGTGGTGTCGCACGGGGGCGGAATGCATATCAGTCAACATCTTTCGTGCAATGGTTGTACATCAACACCAGCTTGTACCAGGCATGCCTCTTGGCGGCCGACCGTCCCGCACGTGGGCAGGCTCCAGGGCTGCGGAGGGAGCACCTCTTCCAGCCTCCTCCCCCTCCTCCTCCTCTTCTTGCCCCTCCTCTTCTCTCTCGTCTCCATAATGGTCCTTCCCTCCCTCGTGTCCTCGACCCTCTTCTTTATATTTCTCTTCTGTTTGTTCGCACCCCATCCTCTGTATCCACTAGGGTGCCGTTGGGCGTGGGCTGGGCGTGTTTTCCGGTTTTTTGCCTCACTTCCTGATCTCAGTCCTCAATCCTACAGAGTTTTCAAGGGCCCGGATTGCCAAACCTCCCGGGTCTCCCCATGCGTCCCCTGGGGTTTAGCGCGTCTTGTGACGTAATTTTTCCGGGCCCAGGGAGGCCTCCAGACGTGCTAAGAAGGCACCGAGAATCACCCAAGAGAGTTCAAGCACCACACGGCCCAAGAAGCCTTCTAAACGGTTAACGACGTTTCCAAAAGGTCTCTTACGAAGGCCCCAAGTGTTTGAAGGACTTGGGCGTTCTCTTCTCAAGGCTTCCTGACGCTCCCAGACGGCCATGCAGGCGCCCGAGCTCGAAAACAGCCGACCCAAGAGAACCAAGAGACGCCTAAAACAACCCAAGAGATCCCCCAGACAGTACCAAAAGAAGGCCAAATAAAGGAACACTAAGCAAAAAGCCGAGCTTTTCGCCCCAGAAGGCCACCAAAGTTACCCGAGAGGATTCAAAAGGTTGAAACGATAACATGTGTTATTGTAACGGCGGCGTTTGTTATTGAAATGGTAGAATTTGATATTGAAACGGTGGCGCTTGTTAATGGAACGGTGACGCGTGTTACGGAATCAATGGCGTGTGTTTTTGAATTTGTGGTTGAAAGCGGCGCGTGTCACTTAAACGGTGGTTTTGTGATTGAAATTAACCAAGCCTACACGTTTCATTACGGAGCCCATGAGTTTCAGAAGTTCAAAACATCTTTCAATGACCGGGCCTATTCATTTGAGTATTGAGGGAAATGGTTTTGATAATTGATTTGCGGAAGTCGTTTGAGGAACGGGGTCTTGCGATAATAATGTCTTATTTGCATTGCAATCTAACGTTGCACATGCACGTTGGGCGTAAGCAGCCGTGCAATGAGCGCAGAATAAGACAGTAAATTTGCGAAATTGGCACGAAGGAGGAGGAGGAAAGAAGAGGAGATGGAGGGAAAGGAAGTGGAAGAAAAAAACGAGGAAGAGAAGGGGAGGAGGAGGACGAGGATAAAGATGAAGAACAGAGGCGGATGGACAACAAACATATTAGGGAAAGAGGAGAAATACTATTTGGTTTCAATACTCCGATTGGCGGCACATTTGTTTCGCTTACTGGTTTCCTCCTTGAGCCTTCTTCCATATATTCGCAAGCTCACGAACTCATGAATGCGAACGGCAATGTGATATTCTGCATTA